CTGAAACTTACTTCAGACAAGAGTTGTCCGTGTCCCTCCTGGAGAGCTATGGGAACTGAGAATTAACAGCGGTAGGAATTAGATGCTTTGACATGAGTAAATTGCCATTGTCGTCAATTACTCTGATTACACCATTGTGGAAGATAGCCTATTGCTATTTTTAATAAATCTACGTTAAAAGAAATCCAGTGAAGCCATTGCACAAACAAGCAATAACAGTACACATATTTGGGCCAGCTATGCAGGAAGTAAACTGTAAAAACCGACAACTTAGATGGGTCACATCTGAAACTGGGTTGCATAATAGCAACACAGCAATATCAAAGCTGCGGTGCGGCTTTAATCACCACACAGTTGGAATTTATCATTAAGCTATGTGCGCATTAAAGGAAGTCTTGACACATTTAAAATAAATGTAATGACAAAATATTTCAAGTACCTTGTATTTCTGAAATAAATATATTGCCCTACCAATGCTGTACATTCGCCTTATGGGTCCTTCATCCTGACTCCATGTCACTGCTGAGCCCTGGTCTCTGAAATGGAAACAAGTTATCATTTGCAGTGTAGAAGTGCAGCAGCATCCATGTAATACTTAGATCATTTAAGTTCCCACTGGACCACATTTCATTACCTGTGCTCTTCATATGACCCATTCACCGTCTCATGTTATGGTAATCTCTAAAAAAGCTGCCACTAAACTGAGACCTTGTTTTAGATGCTGCATGTTGCAGCTGCTGCAGGCATTGACAGCTTCAAACTCCTCATGTCTTAAGCTCCATTTTAGTTTGGGGCAGAAAAACAAATCTTCAGTGAGGAGCCCTGCAGTGCTGCGCTCTGCATCCTACAACTTTTCATTACTGATTGCCTTCTGCATCATCCCTATAGCTTGCTCTTTTGGCTCCTTTTTGTTTTCTACCAATTCCCACGTTACTTTCCAACCTCATAGCTTTTCCTGGTCTGCCGCTTCTAATTGTGCACTTTAAACTATTCCTTGGAGACATCTTCTCTGTATTAAAAGTTGTTCCCAAGTTTATTCTGAAAGCCAGTTTTGAGGCTGTGTTGGATGTATGCATCCTTGTTTGCCACTCGGAAGACAGTGGTCGGGTCCTACTCTGCAGCCATAAGAAATAGGTAGAAATGCAGCTGCTGTCCAAAGGAGGTATAATTTTGGATTCTTTCAGAATGAGGTGACCTCTTTAACCTTAGCCTTGCTCTCAGTAATGCCTGTGGTGTAACCATGCTCAAGAGTTTGTGGTTTAGATGTTAAAGAGAACAGTTCCCTTGGAGAACATGACTGCTGTTGACATAAATGGCAAGACTTCATGATGTCTGCTTTCACACGTGGCCATTAAAGCTAATCGGATAGCAAGACCAGTCAGACCCCTCTCTGCAGGCCAATCCTTGCTGAAATTAATGCTCTGTGAGACCCTGAGACGGTGCCACTAGTATTAACCAGGGTGCCCTTGCATGGCCCCTCTCTTCCCGGCCTAAAATGCACAGATGTCTCTTAAGACGAGTGCCACTGTCTTGTCTCTGCTTCTCCCATGCTTCGCTGTTTCTCATAGGTGCTTGGAGAAGAGGAAATGCTAAAGGGAGGGAGCATTTTTCCGAGTTTGCGGTACATACTTTTCCACAGAAGGCGGGATGTGCGCTGTCTTGAGCCCTGCTGCTGCCACCCTGCTGGGGCTGCTCCCCCGACTTATGTGCTACACGGTGATGGATGAAAAAGGGAGAGGGGGAACAAAAAAGCAGGATTTGGGAGTGAAATGAAGACATTTTCCTTCGAGTTCTTCCATCCCAAGGGGAAGGTGAATAACGCTAGCCCATGTGTCCAGAAGGTGGCACCGGCAGACCGAGCCTGCCGGCAGCCCTCCCCGCCCAACTCGGCCCCAGCCAGGCGGGCACCGCCGCCCCGGCTGGAAACAGCCTCGCTAATCCGGGGTCTCAGCCTCCTTAAAGGCTCTCAGCCTTTTAAACCTGCAAGCAAGCCTTTGCCTGGCTCCAGGCCTCTGAGCCCATGGGTGACCTGCATGAGGGGGACCAATATAATCATAGGTGTGACTGGGCTCTTGCAACTTTGAGTAGGTATCTGAGGCTCGGGAGGAGCAAAAGCTTTAAGCAGCTCCTTATTGTGAAATCAGTTTTGCTGCTGAAGTGGGAAAAGCCCGTCTGAAGACACCATTCAGGGGTTGTGTTTTTAAAGGGTATCTTGCAGCAGCTGCTGGTTGCTGTGTGGGCACTGCCGCTCTGTTAGTACATGTGCATGTATTGGTGCAAGCAGTTGAGTTATCACAGGTGCTGGTAAGTGTTTCTCAGGTGACACAATTCTAAATACTAAGAGACGGTGCTTTATCTTCTCCATTGTGCGGGAATCTCTGTGGCTGTGAGAGGTAGACCTGGAGCAGGGCTTTGACAGTGTAATCTGAGGCTTTCAACCAAAGTGTGGGGTGAGAAGACACCGTGGTGCCAGAGAGCCCTCAGCTCAGCACCCCTGGGCAGTGAAACCGTTTTGCTGCAAAGGAGAGTGGATAAAATTTTCAAGCACATTTGAGGAGCCAGACGAGTTAGGCTTTTATGCAAGAGCTACTCTGGCTTTTACATTTCCGTTCTTCAGATGGAAGATAGCTTTCTTAATTTAGGCAATGGTTTTCCAACCTCAGAAACCACAGGGATCCATGCTGGGGCTTGGGGATATCCTGCTTTCCATGTTGGCCAGTCTATCCCCATTTTCCCTTACTAGCATTATTGCTCTTGGTTACAAAAAAAATCTTTTTTTCCTCATTTCTTCACCCCATCTCACCTCAGCAGGAGCCAAAACCAGGCTCCTGTGCCTGCCACGCAGAGCCAGCTGCTGGAGTGGGAAGGGGAAGGCAGGCACCAGGCCAGCTGCCGGCTGCGGGCACCACTGCCAGTCCTCATCCTCCAGCTGCTACCCTCCACTCCCTCCGTGGCAGCCGTTTGGTTGCAAACACTAGCAGGCAGGACAAGATACTTGAGAGAAAGCAGCGGGCTGTCTGCTGATCACGTTGATCGGTTTTGCAAACCCAACAAAACAACATCCAAAATAACCTCCAAACTGCCAAAGCTCGCTTCTGTATTGGTTCTTAGGCACTATTAGTTTGCATCTAGTGGCAGGAAATTGAAAAGCAGGCTGGAATAAACTGATATCTGGGCACTGTGTGTTTACTGTGTGCCTTTAATTTACCAGTGTCCTGGAAGGACCCTTGGTCTTTATAGCTAGACACCGAGCAGCTGAAGGTAACTCGTGTTAAAATACAGATCATTAAGTCCATTTAAATTTTAAAAAGGTTTTACCACTAAGGAGGAAATGTGTAGGTTGAAAATAAGAGTAGAGGAGAAATTATTCAGAGTTGCACGTTAACTTTGTTCTGGAACAGCCTGCTTTTTCCCCGGTGCTTGTCTGCTGTCGATGACTCCTGGTGTTATGCATATGCAGGAAGGCAGAGCATGCAGCTGGACAAGAGGGCTGCATATGGAGAGAAGATTTTTTTGACCTTGCAGCAGCTTCAAATATTGCTGGTCCTTCTTATTTCTGCCCATGTCCTTTCTTTCTTATCTAGTCCCCTTGCTAGAAAATGCTAGGGGCTCCTGGGTTTTTTCTTTTTTTTTTTTATGTTATAGGTTTACACCACTGCTGATAAAAGTCTTTATCACCTGCTCCCTGCAAGGCAAGCTGCAGGGCTGCTTCCCTTCTGTAGCAGCTGTGCTGGAGAACTGCTGATGAGGAACAAAATGGGAGCTACTGAGCAATCATTTGGAGACTGGCTATTAAAAAAAAGCGTCAGCTAATTAGAGCTTAGAGGAAGAGGCAACACTTTGTGCAAAAACACCAGAAGGTAGGCCCTCCAAATCCCATGCACTCCCTGTAAATAGCTATAATTAACCCCACAGTATTCAATTTATTAATTAAAATTTAATTAATATTTTCTGTCCTTGACAATCATCTTAGAGGCGGTCAGGAAAACATAGTGGCAGCTGGGTTTCCATAGAGCAGCAGTGACAATCAAGAGGGCAGAGCCACAGGAGACTCCTCTCCGTCTCCTGGTCGTACCTGTGATAGAACTGAAACTGGTCACTGGACTGCTGGCAAAGGAGGGGAGGATGGGAGACAGTGCAAGCCCCAGTCTTCTCCTGCACACTTCCAAGCATTGCCCTACAAATGCAGCACCCACCTGGATTATTTGAAAGTGTGAGAGGGAGGTACAGTGAGAAAACGAATGTCGTCTTACTTATTTGACCACACCAACTGAGGGCTGCTGTACAGCACTGTGTTTCAATTGGTTTTGATGTTCTGCTTGGTGCTTTGTCTGAGTAGAGCGAGCTCAGCAGAGATACCTCTCACAAACTTCATGGGCCCCATCCAAAGTAGAACAGCTATTGCTTAAAAATGCTGTGTCTGTATGAGTAGCTTGGCTCACTCCTGTTTTGCTCCAGGGATGGACTTCATGGTCATTCATACTACCCATGGTCAGTATGTCAGACACCCATCAGTGTCTGAGCTCTCTTCTGGAACAAATCTGTTGGTATCCCCAAGGGGAAATGTGAGTGTCGTCAACCATGTAGTTCACTCCAGGGTTTGCTCCAGACAGACAGGATAGATGTGGAAGACACCAAATGTATTTCCTTCAACAAGGACGGTGCTTCAGCATTATTTCAGGTTAAGCAGCAGCATAATTTGTGCCCTCCCCCATCCTTTTCCTAGAGCACGCAATATTTTTTTCTGGCATTGTAATGTTTTTGACGCAGCACTATTCTGCAGACTTGTAGCATATACCTGTTAGTATTATCCATACTTTGAACTGAAAAAAAAAACCAACCCACCAAGCCCATGCACAGAACATAACAACTGTTAGCTACATGGTCATGAGAGGAGACGTGAGCTGAGCACTATGCAGCACGGCTGCAGCCAGCCCGCTTGGTAGGGAGCAAACCCTTAACAGTGTGGTCATGAGCCATCTGCAAAAACTGGCCTGTGGGCAAGGGTCTGCAGTACAGGCCTGGTGAGAATGGCCATGAGGTAAAGAATATCTTTTACTCCCCATTTAACAGAAGGGTGCAGACTGACTCAGCAAGAGAAACATACTCAGAGCGTGTTGAAACTGCATCTCCCAGGTCACGGTGAAAAAGCTTTCAGTACAGAACTGTTAGACAGGAGCAAGTGGGGTGAGGAGATGGGACACAAGCACTATCATCACCACCTTATTCTTGTCTTCTCTCCACTCCTCCGGATGAAACATTAGGTTAGGCAGGTTTTTGATACACCTAGTGGATCAGGCCCTTCTGGTAATGAAGAGGCATGCCATTTCTCAATCTTAGGGAGGCGGGCACCAAGCTGTTCAGTGCTATGAGGTCAGAAGTACTTCTGAGCACATCCAGAAGCAGAACTGGAGGTTCCAGGTGAACATCAGCATTAGAAAATATGAGTGGCACAATTCGGAGTCTCTTTGGCCTCCAGGCTTTGATGCATAACTGCAACTCTAGGACCATCACAGACCCTGCCCTTACCATCTCTCCCACGGTCACACGAAAAAACCAGCCTCAGGCTCACCAGACTGTGAGTTAACATCTCCCATCAGCTGTGTGCTCCCAGGCATGGCTAACACTGAGGGCTGTTGGGGAGCTAGAATGAACAAGTTCTCTGCCCTTGTGGGTAAGAAGTGCCTCTGATGCCCTGCAAAGGTGCAGGGCAGGGCTTTCCCCAGTCTGCCAGCAGCAAGGCCAGAAGGGTGGAGATGAAGATGCCATTGCTATATTTTAATGGTTTTGTTGGCTTCAGGATGGGACACCCAATACGACAATGCTGAGTCACAGCGGCATTTAACCTTGGGTTGCCACAGGTGATGAGACAGGCCAGATCCATTGTCATCCTGTTGGCAATTCCATGCAGATTTCAGTAGAACTGAGGGAGATGAAGGTAGACGCTGAGAATCACTGCAGCCTACGTCCTGATGAAACTCCAGATGAACACAGTAACTGTCCCAACAACTATTGCAACGATTGCCCGACTTTGTGTGCCTCATTTAGGCTTTTCTTCTTTCTTTCTTTCTTCCAGTCTAGTAAATTATTTTAACTGAGTTCTTAGAAATTTTTAGAAACTTCCTGCACCTCTCCAAAATTCAGCAGCTTCTCTAACTTTTGCAAAAAGAAGAGCAGGGGAAAAAAAAAACAAACCCCAGGCAACTCACTGCTAAATTTTGAATTCAACATTCAGAACAACAAATACATCCAAACGATTTTTGCTTTACTGTTAGTCATTTGTACTAACCTGCAATTAAAAGGCTCACCATTTGTTCTCATCTTTTTATGAAATTACATTTTCCACTTCCTAGGCCCTGGCCTCAGGCAGTGGATTTTTTAAGCAATCATGCCTTGATAATTAATGTTTAAAGACGAATGTTGCAACTTCTAACACAGTGTGTTGCTCAGTAAATATCCAGCAATGGCTGGTATCAAAAAAGAATACAAAAAATACAAGGCTTTTACTGGAAGCTGCAAGTTTTGCAGACATTATCCACAGAGCTCCCAGCTGCAGTATGTCTGATTACTCCTTCCTCTGTGCTTTTGGATGGGGGAGACTGCCATGCTTAAAAAAAGCAGAAGAAATTAAATACCACATCTAATCTGTCAGTTCTTTGTGCCAGTGACTCATCACCACAGAAAGCTTGCTGGGAATGATTAGCTCATACAAAGAGGGAGGAGACAAATCTTTGACAAATGATCTGTAGTTGTGACATGATCAGTGCCATTTTGGATTTTTGCAAAAGGGCAGGAGGACAAGGGATGGAGTGGGAGGAGAGGAAGGGGTAAAAATGGAAGATGTGGGGGGCAAAGTGTGGTCAGAAGTTTGCTTTCTATTTCATGTCCCTTTGTTTGTCATGGGTCTGCCTTTTCTCTGTAGAAGCCACAGCTTCCAGTCTGTTACCAACCCAGTTGGTTTTACCTGTGGTAGCAGCCCGTCCTACTCAGGGCTTCTGTATGTGACACCAAGTGCTCCTCAGGAGCATGATCTGAATCTCTCATTGCAGCATTTTTTGGTGCTTTAGAAATTGTTACTATATCATCCCTTTCTAACAGAAATCCACAGCAACTGAAAAGGCAAGTGGGAAAATCAGCAACTTTGGCATTTCAGGAAGGGGAAAGGGTAGTCTGAATTGAGACTGCCTCCTTACTTTAGGCAGCTGGCTTGGGCATTGCAATCCTGATTCAGACCTTTTGGAAGACACACCTTGTGCCTTACATTTCCCAATTGGTTGGCAAGAGGCAAGCTGCCTCTTCACCTGAGACTCCTAAGACAGGAAAAGTGGGAAAGTACTCGTGTTCTTGTGAGTGGTTCCTGTCAGAAGGGGTGGGGGGGTTCACACTGTACTATGGGAGTGGTCTGGCCATGCCAGAGACTCCATACTGCATCCACTAGTTTGGTACATCCCCTTCCAATCTGATCTCTTAGTGCTGTTTTTCATACACTGAAGCCTTTCCTGGTCTGGCAGAGGCCAGTGACAAAATCCTAAACAGATCAACTGGAACAAGAACAGAATACTACTTTGGGCTAGTTTTCCTTTTTTTTTCCCCCCTCCCCTCTTCTTTTCTACCTTCTAGAAAAGAGAAGGAAATTCCCAATCCAACACAAAACTGGCAGGTCGGCAAACCAAGTTCAGAGCAGGTGGCCTGGGCTTTGTTACTCTTTGGTGTTCTTTCTGCTCAGAAGGAACCAAAGCCCAAAAAGCTCCTGGAAGAGCTCCATGTGTCTGATTCTGCAATTAAGTGTGAAAATGGAACCTCCCAAATAATCTTGTCTTTCTGGGAGTGAAGTTCAGGCTCTAAGAAAGATTAGTAAGAGAAACATTCAGCACTAGTCATGCTCACTTGGGTAACAGGCAAGTTTCTGCCTGTGCTCACTTCCAGTATTCATTATGAATGTGTATTAGTGACTTCCTAAGCAGTAATCCCAGCTGAATAGGAAATGAAGTATTGCCTTCTGCTTTAAAAATTTCCTGTTCTTTTCGCATTGTTTATATACTATCAACAGTATGCCGATACATTAACTGGGTACCCAGTGCTTGGTTATCTTATTATCCATTGCTTTAGTTATCTGCCCACATTGCTGATCCTAAAAGGATTAAGCTAATTTTTAGATTACTTTGCTGTTGAAGCACAGTGGATTTGAATTCTTGTTGTTGTTGTTGGTTTTTGGCTCCTTTAAAAGTTTTCCAGTAAAGATGAAGACCTATTTGTACTAAATTTATGCCTGCTCAAAATAGCTTGCTTGCGTTTTTTCTGTTGATTTTTCACAGATCCCTTAAAAAGCAGAGGTCCAGAGAGTACCACTGCAGGGTACAGGGTGCTTCAGTTAAGCTTCATGTTAAACATGACACAGATCGTTCAGCATTTTGCTAAATTGAAGCATTACCAAGTCCCATGGAATGGAAAATGCTTCAGGAGTAAAAGGAGTATGTTTTTCAAGAAATGCTTAATCCTAAACAGATCATTCAAATGCAGTGTAATAAAGACTCTACTACAGCTAATGAAAAGATTTTGTTCAACCTCAGTGGGCTCTCAAACAGGCAGAGATAATACGCTTGCCCTTGCTAACAGTAGTCATTTACTGAGTTTCCTTTCCTAGACTGGGAATTAGATTTCCTTCTCCACTGTTTGTATAGAAAGATGCATACTACTCAAGCAGATCATGTGGGAGCCACCGTGTTTAAAAGAAGAAGCTGCATTTGAATAGAAGATACCTCCCAACTTCATGTTTAGCCATTTAGCTTGAGTCAAAATAAGCATCCTTACCATGCTTTTGAGCTGATGAACTACAGCAGACCGTACCAGTCTACTGCACACACTGCCTTGCTGCAACGAGGGACTGTAAAAGAGCCCGCATAAACAAGCAGCAAGAAGCCATCTCACATGCCAGCTCACACACGTGTGTGCATGTGTTCACACTGGTGAGCATGTATATTAAGCCATCCGACTTTATACATCTAAGGTTGGAGATGTTTATCTTTTTTTTTCCTATGCTCCCATTCCCAGCTTATTCCAAATCCTGTCCCCACACTTAACATACATTGCATACTTTGAAGTCTATGGACCTGAACTGGGCAGGCTCCCAGCACCTTCATTTGTCTCTGGACCAGATTTCAGTTGGTACATTTTATCTAGAGGACATTTTGAAAGACATGTGACTGTTGACTTCCAAGGCCATTTCATCAGGACCAGGACTCGTAAAGAAGCAAACAGAGGCAAAGAACAATTTGATCAGGGGCACAGTCACCTAAGTATCAGGGATGAGGGTAAAATTTAGGGATCTGGCTTTCTACTTGGCACCAGAGCATAATTTTCTCTTTGTTTTGTTTTGTCTTTTGCTCTTTCTCCTCCTTACTTCTTCGGTGTTAGAATTAAAATGGCCAAGGTAATTTATGCTCAAAATTCCTTTTCTTGTTCTGAAACCAGCAATGAATGTTGTAGGTTTTTCTGAAGGAAAACCTTTCTCTAAAGGTGCCACATGCTACAGTTTTCTCTCTAGGAGCATGGGATGGGGAGAAAAAAGCTCCATCAGTGACCCTTTTGCTATGTAACCTTTCCTTAAAATGCCAGCAACTGTGCTTCCACAGAGAGAACAACAAATATTGAGAGAGGAATGTGAAGGACATTATGAACGAAGAAAGCAAGAAAAGGGATCTGCTCAGACAAGTTTCTCAGGAAAGGTGATGTAATATGTACTGTAGAAAATCCTAGCGGTTGACATAACTTACTCTCTTTCTAAGTAGTTGTGGCTGCCAGCAGGCTGGGAGAAACAAAACGTACAGCTGGGAATACAGCTGAGCAGACTGTTTTGTCCAAAAGAAATATAGTAGGTGTAAAACTTGTTTTCAAAAGATGTCATTGAAGTTTAATTGAAAAGTGTCCTATTAATTAAGGCTGAGTGACCAATGGATGAAAGTCTCATTTCTGTTGGGGCTGTTCATGGTGATACTGTAACATTAATGGCTGCGTGCTGGGAGTTCTCTTGGGATGCCATGGTATGCAGTTGCATTACACGCACCCAGTCCCGTTGCTAGAGTTTAGCAAATGTTTAACAAGCTCTTTAACAGCTGTCTTGAAAATTGCCTGGCTTTGTATTGACTGACTTGCATATGTATCAGCCTGGTTTCCTACAGAAATAACTGTTCTTGTCATATGTGTTGTACGTGTGTCCACATCCATGTATATACAGTTTGGGAACCTCCTTCCCTGGTAACTGTGCTTTCAGTCGGCCTTGGAGACTCCAAAATCTGGAGGATCCCAGGTTTTCTTATTCAACTTCTCACAGAGCTTACTAGTTGAAAGATCTTGGCTGCAGCCTGAAATGTTTCATCTTTAAAAACACTAGCTCCTCTAGTTTGTTCCTCCTGGTGCATGTAAAGAGCAAAATGCTGCATGTGCAGAGACTGATAAACCCAAAATGCCATTAGAAGCATGAATGTATCCATTTTCAGGTAGGCTAGTTCATAAAAATTGGATAAACTAGTAAACAAAAAGTCCCAGCACATGGACTGCTGTGGATTTGTTCATTATTACAAACAGAGGAAGAGCTGTACAGGAGGAAATTTCACTATGAAAATTATATTTAGTTGTAGGACGGAAATGCATGGTCTGTTACCTCGTTTTTACAAATACTGCTAGCATTGTTCAGAGAGCCAGCAGGCATGGTTTCAAAGCAAAAGCACGTGTGGTTATTTTCACAAGGTTTTTGTGAATAAGGCCGGACAAAACTGCAAGAGATCCCTAATGCTTTTGATGGGACTACTGTCATGTCAAAATGTCTTGTGCTAACTTTTTGCTTTACTGTAAATTGGTTTTAAGGAAAACTTGAGCAGGAGGACTGACAGTGCTAGTTGTTGTCTTGGAGTGGGTGGTTGAGGGACCCTGTTGAATCCTTAGGAATGCCTGAATATTTTTCCTCTGCCTCTGCTACATACCCACTCCCTTGCATTTTCTCTTTTGTTCTAGGTGGAGTCTGGATAAGAGCTGTCAGGAAAGCTTTTTCTCTGGATTGAGGCTACCAAGTGATAGCGATCTTGAACCACCGTTTTAGAGGAGTGGCACCAAAAAGCCTGTTGTTATGCTGAGTGCTTTACAGAACAAATAACACTCCCTGCTTCCTCAGCTGCCTAAAAATCAAGCCATAGATATTGAGCTTCAATCTGAGTACGGGTAAGTCAGGCCTCAGAAGCCTGCATCCATTGCACGATAGTATTTAAAATAATTATAGTTATCAGGCTGTCATACAACTGTTTTAAACCAAGCCAGGGGAGAAATCACTAGAGTGCAATGCTGTGTAGCTGACACTCATATTGCCTGATCTCTCCCTGTTGTACTAAAACTACAGTAAGTTGGGTCTTGTTAGTACACCCTAGCACTGTGCTGATGTTGGGTTACATTTCAAGAACTCCCTCAGCAGTGCCGAGGCCAGAAAACTGCAGTGGATCACTAGAAAAGCCCTGTCTGCTGCCAAAACCAGTCTTGCTTCTTGGCCATAGCAAAAGCTCAGGATTTCTTTGTGCAACTTCAGTTTGCTTCCTAAACTGGAAAGTGCAGAAGATACCTCCTAAGCTGGCCAGTTACTTAAGCGAATAAAGTGGCCGTCTGCTTTTTTTACTAAGGTAGAGGAACAAGGATCAGAAAGTGATGTTACCAATCAAAATGACAAGTCTCTATCCCTAAAGATACAGTATCCCTAAAGGTTACTGTATCCCTAAAGAGACTAACATTTTAAAAATTTGTCTATTCAGGGTACAGTATCCCTAAAGTATCCCTTAAGGTTTCTGTATCCCTAAAAGATGCAGCAACCTTTCGAGAACATCATCTTGGGTTTTCCTTGCAATTTGCTGGGCTCAATTTGAGAGAAAGTTTCCCTCAGCTAAACCCCTGGTGGCTAGAGAGATGGAGGAAGAAGGGCAGTGTAAGGCTGCTCTCCTTTTGCATAGGGATGAAAACCATCTGGTTGCTCCAGTTGGCCTCTAGGCCAGCGTTTGATAAAACTTTGTTCTTTTGCTGTTCCCACTAAATCCTTTCTGGTGTCACACTCACATATGCGGCCCTTTCCCATTCCCACATAAACCCCATGCATGCTCTTGCTTCTTTATAAAAGTCCATTTGTGGCTTGAAAAGCTCGTATCAGAAACAAAGCTATTTAAATCTCTTGTGATTTCTTATGTTTATTCTTTTGGTGTCTAAGCACAGTTGCTAAATTCTGAGAATTGTTGCTACTCTCTTTTTAATTTCTTCCCCTTCCCATCCCTAAATCAGGTGACATTTTTAGCTTCAAATTGTATAGCAGGGAGCATGTTAAACATCAGGTCTGAGAGAAATGGGAAACAACATGATGGGGCTGCAGTTTTAGGTGCTGCAAAGAGCCCAACTCTCCATGTTTAAAATCAATGACTTTTTTTGTTTAAACTGTGAACAGTCCATCAAAAACTACATGAAATCCATTTTCTGGGTGATGGAATGTATGCCTGCCTAGTTTGCTTCCTATTAGGTTATTAACACTTACTGCATCTGTAACTGCTAGTTATTGAAGGAAGGACTTAATTTTCTATCAGAATCCTGGGATTAATTAAAACATTGCCATTAATTTTTAATGAGAAAGTTGTTACTTTTACCAATAAACTGGCTTAGGCTCGTAGTCCTGTAAAGCACAAATTGCACATACTGAATCATAGTTAACAAGCATATTTGGGGAAAAACACAGAGGACTGCAGCTTGTTGCATAGGTTAAAAATGATTGGTTGGTTTCTTCTTTCTTTCCCTACCAGTACTGGATATTATATATGCTAACTAGTATTCATCTCTCAGCAAGGCATCCAGACCTTGTAAGGCCAGTTCTTTCTTCCAGTAAGACCTTTGCATCATAAAACGGCCCAGACAAAACATCCCCAGGGGAAAATCCCATGCTTATAGGAATTTCCAAGCCAGGGTATAGCACCATTTGCTTGCCTAGCTGCTTGTCTTGGGTGGAGGAGAATGGCCTGTTAGAAAAGAATGGCCAATACAAATGGAGAAGAACAAATAAGACACCTGAGGGTGTGTCTGATGGATACAAATTTTGAGGGCAGGAAAGGAGAAAGTTTTGCTCCTCTTCTGTGCAAGCCTTGGGCAGAGTAGGAGATATGGTAAATTTTAGCTCTATCTATCAGCCAACTCTGCTATCTTATTGTTTGTACATACACACAGTAAACTAGCCAGTTACCAAGTTATACCTCATTTAAAGTAATTTGATTTACACTGAAGAAGCGTCACATGAGGAGAGTAATGTTTGGAGGCTAAGGGTCCTCATTACTAATGCTATAAAGGTTAAAAAAAAAATACCAGAAGCCATTTCACAATGTGTTTAACAGAGAGAATGGTAAGAGCAGTGAATAGTGCATTTTATTCCAAATGTTTCATTTAACAAAGATTAAATACACATCTGAACACTGTCACTTCGGGGTACATTCCTAATCTGGCTTTGCTCTTGCTCATAGCAGTATAAATCAAGAATTATTCTACTGAAGTCAGCAAAGTCATTACCCTGTATTAAACTCAAAGCAGAGTGAGTCTTGCTTTTTACCTCTACAGCAAATCCCATTCAATTCAGTATGAACAGAGCCGTACGTTTAAATGCAATGCAAGAACAGAGCCAACTGGTAAATCTGTGCCCTAAATTCAGTACAGAGTTCTTGAGCTGAATTTCCATCTGAGTACTCTTGAACACTGCAGCACTAAATCTCCTTTTCCTGCAGTGTAATCTAGTTTCTTTTCCCCAGAAATAATTATATTTTCCTTTTTGTAAACAGAGGCCACATGAAACGCATGGTTGTCTTATGAGCAAAAACCTCAAAGACCATAGCTTATATATATTAAAAAAACAACAACCCACAACCTTCTGTTTTGAAGCTAAATGCAGTTTTTGAGTCTATCAGCATTTTTTATTTCATACCAGTTTTCTGCATAGTGGAAAGTATACACCCTTAGGAGGGTAACAACTATGATAAGTTGTTAAAAAACAAATTGTCTAGGAAAGTAATTTTTTCCATTATGAAAGTGGCTTGTCATATACTAGTGAAATGAATTAGTCACATAACACACCTTTCACAACCTCAAAAGAATTAGATTATGGCCCATACATTCCCATGTGTAACAGGAGCAGCTCTGCTCTTTGTACATATACCGCTATCACTCCACAGTTTCTGATTATGTTTTATTCATATGTAATCATAAATCACTCACAAATGGGTCCAAAGCCTAAAACTAACCAAACCAGTTCATATTTCTGGCATGAACTATTCTATTTGCACGTCTTTGCCGATGAAAACATTTCTTGTTATGATATGGAAAGATTCCAGGTATGTGGTGTTCAATGGGAAAAGGTGACAGCATGACATTTAGCAGATGTATGCGTGGGGAAGGGAGGAAAAGCAACAAGGAAAGAAAGGCACATTTTCTTTTGACCCACTCAGTGGGAAAAAGTCAACTGAGAAATTACTACCCAGTTCATCCTTTGGTTTAGCACTCTGCTTTTGGGGACTGTTCAGAATGGGGAAGGCTTGAGGGGAATCTCATCAATGTAAATACCTGAAGGGAGAGTGTGAAGAAGAGGGAGTCAGGCTCTTTCCAGTGGTGCCCCAGTGACAGCACCAGAGGCAATGGGCACACACTGAAAGGCAGGAGGTGCAGCCTGAACATCAGGAAACGCTTTTTCACTGTGAGGGTCACTAAGTGCTGGCACAGGTTGCCCAGGGAGGTTGTGGAGTCTCCATCCTTGGAGATACTCAAAAGCTGTCTGGACATGGTCCTGGGCAGCTGGCTGTAGGGAACCCCATTTGAGCAGGGGGAATGGAAAAAGTGACCTCCAGAGGTCCCGTCTGACCTCAACCCTTCTGTGATACTGTGATGCAGCTTTGGTCTCTTGTCAGTGAGGCACCTCATTTTCTTGGTGGCTCCTTTCAGTCAGGAACAGCAAATTTTAGAAATGCAGAGGGTGCTTCAGCATCCACAAGCTCTGGAAGGGACCCCCAACAAGCATGTAGAGTTTGCAGTGGGAAGGAATGAAATGCTTGTGGGGTCAGGATGGGCAAATTACATCTGGCAAATGACTAGAAACAAAGCAGGAGTGTAAGAATTACATATTACTTCCACTTCAATCACTCCGAGTAACATTCCTGTCCTTTTTGTTTCAGAGAGGGAGAGCTGTGACATAACTAATAAATACACTTCAAGTATCACCTGATGACTACAGCTCTGTGCCAGTGGCATTGGGAGCACAGGGGGGATGCTGAGAACTACTGTGAAAGGACTTGTCATGTGCAAAAACAGAGCAGAGAAATCTGGATGCCTGAATATTATGACATTTCATTTCAGTGCAGCCTACTGAGGCCTTGGTGGTTTCTGGAGTTATAACCATGTTTTTCAGACTGATGTACCACGTCATTCTCCTGCACAGGATGAAGATAAGCACGTCAAGAGGTGCTTAGGTCCAGGAGCTTTACAGTGCCAGTTGCTGGTACTGCGAGCTGCAACACTTAGTTCTGGCCATAGACAAGAATTCCAGACTTTGGGGCTGCACTGTGATCACACTGGGGAAAACATAGAAAAAAGGGTCACACACCTCCTCCATCTCCTCTGATAGCTTGTCTTCTTGAATGCCAGCTCTCCTACGTGCTAAGAAATAGCTGAGCTGGACTTAATGCAGTGGTGGGCAGCAGAAAAAGTTAGAAGGCAAGTTCAGCACTAGGCTGAACACTGCCTTTTCTCAGAACGTCCCCGTCCTGGAACGGCTTTCCCATCAACATGGCAAGGTGGCAATTTCTTCCTTAAGTGCATTTATCAAAAGGGCAGAATAGAGGAGGCTGAAACTTTCACAATCACAAACTCTATAGCTGAGTTCAAGAAAAGTTGCAGCACTTTCAAACTATACCTGGCACACTAGGGGCACCCTGACAAGCAAGATATGAAAGTGCAATTGCAGCTTTAATGTAGAAGTAGCAAGTTTCTGTACGTCATACTGAAAATACAACATCTTGCCAAGTTACAAAGGCAGCATTTTTTCGTACTCTGCAGTAAGACAACCCTGTTATCAAATAATAATGCCTTCATCTTTTGATGGTGCTGTTGGAAGTAGAAAAGGAGCTCTTTTCACATCTTGTTTTGTTCTGCCTCCATTTCTAATAAAT